GGGGGGGGGGGGGGGGGGGAAAAAGAATTAAAAGCTTAAAAAAGAGAGTTTGACTGCGCGCAAAGCCCAAGAAGGTTGTTGGTTGAATGGGCAACCGGTAAGTGTGGGCAAAGGCAATGAAGAAACTTACAGAAAAAAACACAGCATGCAACTGCCAATTCCCAGTTCCCATTCTCACTCATCATCAGTGACCCCCCGGGGATGGCGCTGACACCCTCCCACCTATCCCTCTCTCCCAATCCTCATTTCTAGAGAGACAATTTAGAGAGAGAGAGAGAGAGCGCTATTTTCAATTTCCATGTTTTATATTTTCCTTAATTTTTTAGTCCGTTAAATATACTTTAATTGGATAAGACATTTATTTAAATAAAAAAAGTCAAAAATTTAAGATATTTATAAACAGAGTTAAAAAAGTCAAAAGTTTAAGACCTATTTCGATAAAGAAGTTAAAAGTTTTAAATTTTTATCAAAACAAAAATGGATAAAAAAACATATTACAATAAGGTCTCGAACTTTTAATACTATTTAGTATATTCACTTTTAAAAATTGACAAATTTAATTCGAAGCATAATTGAAAAATTGATATCGTCGTGATTTTTTTTTTAAATATCAAATGGGTCGGGGATCTATTAGAATTCACACAAAAGCTTATGACATTCACACTCAAGAAATTTAAAGGGTAAAGTTGTAATTTAACTAATAAAATAATATATAAAGTACAATTTGGCTGCTTGATCTCTCCTCAACTCTTTTTTTCTGGTTGAAAACAATGAAGTACAAGGAACATACCGTTTTAAGAGAAATTATTAATAATAAAGAATGTAAAAGGAAATCCAACTTTTTGCGTAATTCTATTTATTTTATGAATTAATTTACTTAATTTGTTTAATAGAAAATTCAAAATTTATTCATAATTATTATATTAAATATCATCTCGATATTGGATTTATGTAAATATAATATTAAATCTCTGTGTTTTAAAGTGAACATAATCTCATTAGAACAGACATAAAATTTTGAGAGAATGAGGTAAAGAGAATAGCTTCATTTATAAAAGCAAATTTATTAAATATATATATATATGTGCTTTTACAATTAATAAAAAAAAATATATTTTCATTACATTTCTAGAAAAATAATTCATTGGCACTCCAAACTTTATGCTCTATATCCACCCATGCTAATATCCAAGTATATGATTTTTAAAAATATAATATATATTTTATCGGTAATATTACCTTTAATATTTTATAAATGTTCCAAAACGAAACATCACTCTATGTCACCGTTGCACCATTATATATCCCGATTTTCATTCAAAATTCTAAAAGATTTCTATTTTAATAATAATCTCGAGCGATTGTTTATATAATTTAGACAAAGAAAAGTATTAATATTTAAACGATAAACAAGACTACAAATATAGTGATTTTACTAGTACCATGCAGAGGGAAAGTGATTGATTTGGAGTTAAATGGTATATAATCTCTTCATCAATCATTAAAAACTTTTCAATGCAAAATGTTAATGAAATGATCATGTTTATTACTTATCTCTAATCTAAACGCAAATTTAGATTTTCAACCAAAATTTAGGAGTAAAGTGAAATTATCAAATATCTTACTTTCTAATGAAATTAACCAGAATCTATATATATATATATATATATATATATATATATATATATATATATATATATATAAATTAACCCGAAACTAGACCTAGAAAAGAAAAAAAATAATAATAATAATAAAACTCGACCCAATTCAACCCAATCATTCCTCGAATGGAAAATACTTCGCCCGAGAAAACTCCATGAAGGTAAAATTTTACCTTCGAACTTTTTTATATACATATGCAATCTTTTCATACTAAAAATTTGGGGGGGAAAAGGGTTTAAAATCTTAATATTTGTAGGGAAGGATAGGAAAGGATACCTCCGCCCCTTTTGCTCTGCGCTGTAAACAGATAAACATTACCAAATTAACGTCCCAAATATAGATCAGCACTTCAGCATAAAATTGAGACATCTCCTGCGTCATTGAACATGCAGTTTCACAGCTTATAATAAAAC